ACGGAACAATCCCAGATCATGTAAATAGAATCCAAATCGGCAATATCAAATGGTAAGAAAATAGCGTTACACGTTGCATTTTATTAACACCTCCACCAGTCTCATATTGGGCATCTCCTTTACATCTCGCACCGAAAAAGAATAAGGGATAGCGACCGTGCGGTGACTATCTCTCGTACTGTTCCAGAAAAATACCATGTTTTACAATCCTGGGTAGAGGTTCAGTCCCTAAAATACGAAATCGTCTCTGACTTTCCATACTTGCACTACTTTTTCACCGTTGTAAATAATTAATTCTATTACAGTTATTTAACCGCGGCTTAATTAACATCATGTACCACCAGGATGGACAACCAAATTTCAAGTGTTGAGCATAGTCACGTAATTTGTGGGGAGAGACTAAAATTTTTGTACCTTTCGGATGATTGAGGATCCACATAACTGTTTAAATCGTATAGTGATTTTATACTAATTCGATTCGAAACCTTTTTTAGTGCTTCTAATATTTAGAGTTCAATAAAATATCATTAATTTCAAGTCTAATGAAATTTGTTGCTCAAGCTCCTGCTAACTATAAGCCGAATTAAGCCCTTTCTCTTGTTGCTGTTTTTAATCTAAATCTAAAAAGCAAACATTTACCTACATTAAAATTGCGATTGTCATTCTACCATGGCAGGGAGCAGAAGAATATTTACAATGCCGAGATTTTGTTGTTGGAGGCGAAACACCTGGGGTGTATGAAACTGTAATTGAATGAGGGAATAAAAATAACTCTAAAAGCAATTTTGAAATATAGAACAAGCATTTACATGAACTCACATTTAGCGATCCCCCGGAAATTATTCCGTTCCTTTATTCCTACGCAACGCTTATTCAAATTCAAGCAGATTTTCCAGTTTTTCCAGCCGTAAAACACCCACAACGCACAGCTTTCAGTTTGCGCTGTGCCATAAAATTGTTTTACTAACAACATTTTCAGGTGGCGTTTTGTTTCGCACATACTACGTACAAAGATCTGTACTGTTGGCCCGAATTTACAATTTTCCAAGCTACCTATCTGTACAAATGCAACGTGATTGTTTTGTAACGACATTACCAGCGCGACGTTCCAACAACGTTACTGTCATACGAATTATTTTTACAACCATTTGCAATTATGGCAGATTAAAGTTTCAATCAAATTCACGAAGTTGCCACGTTTTGTGAGATACTGACATTCTATTATGTATTTTCCAGGTTGACAAATTATTTTTTTTTTGTTTAGCAACACGCCAGGACTGGTAAAAAAATTTTATATTAATTTAAATTCCGTGCATGAATAATGTCACCAAACGGAATATAACGCCATTACATCGATAGGAAAAATCCGCCCACGTCGAAGTATAACACAAAATAAACTAAACCAATGCTAAATTATAAATGAAATTTAGGGTTAAGTAAAGCCTGAAATAAATAAATACGCTATTCCCGTTTGTCGTTCAAAAAGTTTGTAATTAAAATCGTGTCCTTTATTTGTATACATTTGCTAGGAAAATGTTTGTGATTGCGATTTAAAGTTAGGTAGGTACTCTGTGCGCTGGAAATATCAAAGGCGAAATGTGGATTTAAGAAATTAGTAAAAAGTACGTAATTCCTTACGCCAACGAATTTGTTAGCAATAAACGAAAGTACAAAGGAAGCTTTTAAATGCATTAGTTTTTTGTATTCCAAACGCGCCTGTGTAAGTATTTTTTTGTAATTGTGAGTGGTGCTTTCCCCGTTAATCCGAAAGTAAATATGAATAGGGCTTTTTACACATTTCGACAGGGTTATGGATGACACGCGACAAATTTAGATGCATTGAAATGAAAGACCTTTGGTATGGGTTATATCGATTAAACTTTGTAATTGTGTATGAGTAGAGATCCACCAAGGTAGGTACGTAGAAATAACAAGCGCGCATAATTAGATTTGTTTCAGATAGGGTTACCGTGCAGGATGTAATAGTATTTTACATTATTAGCATGGTAAATAGGTTTTTGCCGGTATGGAGCGCCGTTTTACTTTTAAATACTGCCGCAAGCTAAAGATTTGGAAGATTAATTTTCCATAAAATAAATATATACTTCAGAAATATTTTAAATACTCAAGCACGTATAGAATTAAAATTAAATTGAAATTAAAATATCTTGGTGATATTTTTAAATAATTAGAAACATTTATTGGAACAAATTTGTCTTCTACATTGGAACCCAATGAGATATTTTTACTTTTTATATTTGCATGAAAGAAAACTAGGTATTCAGAGCCAAAGTACACATAGCTACATATCGATTGAAACAATTAATTAAAGAAACCTTAATTATCTTAAAGTATTAATAGTCCAATATATCCGATCGGAACTGCGGTTTTCGTTAACTGATGCGCAAACACAGACACCAAATAATGATACCTCGGAACTACACTTCTTTGATTGCACTTGAATTACGATTTTAACGACAATGGGTTCTATTAAAGTCCGTCTCAAAAACAAATACGATTCAAGTCTTCCTCTACTATTTAAAACATTCTTCCCTCTCTCAGTGTCCTCTGCTTCAGTTTGCGCCATCGAAATTAAACATCTGTGGCGAAATCTGCTGGTTTTGAAACTAATTAACTTACGCAGCGATAACGAATTTCTTATAACTTTAACAAAGCATTATTTCCAAATGTCCTTAGTCTTTCTAAGTAAACAATAAAATAAAGTCAAAATACTACGCGATTATTTACACAAAATTACACAACAAATAATTCTTAAATAAAATTACATTACACTTCAAATTCAAATTTCGTGATCGAAATTGTGTTCAAACGACCACCTTTGTGCTTAAAGAAAATAAATTTTCTCGAAAACTTACAATTTGTAATTAATAGGTCTCCAAATTCTTTATTGTTCAAAAGCGACAACTTATTGGGGCTGAACCTAACTACCTGAAAGACCAAATACAATTTTTTGTTTTATAATAATTCTTGGATAGGTTTCTCTTTAATACATCAAATGCGCGAAGGGCGACCTTCAACCGCTGCAGCAACTACTTTCTCTACTGTTTGGAAAATGCAGCAGTGGTTTTTCTTACTCAGGAAATTGACGATCTTTCAGATGATTTTTGGTTTTTTGAGGAGATCGGTCATACTAGATACCTACGTACGAGGCGTGTCTTATCATGCTGCTGCCACTGATTAGGCCAACCATGGTGGCTTGCAGCACTGCATTTTGGTATACTTAAGTTGGTCCTTACAGTTTGATTAAATTTGAGTTTGAAGGATGAAGGAACTAAAAATTTAAAGCCTAAAAGAAATCAAAGGTAAACCCTCTACGTTGATGTCATAAAATGTACATACCTCTTAAATAAGAGGGTTCATTATAGAAGAAGCATCAATTGTTGATGGAAACATTGTCGACAGCTGTATCTAAAGAACCGGTCCATTTCAAATGGAAATGCAAATGGCGGTACTGACGATAAAGAAGAAAAAACGCAATTATACCCTCCTACGGAGTTAAAGGCGACCGTTCACTAATTATTCCAGAATCCCCAATTGAATGTCAGAGATTAAGAAAATATGGATGATGACAATTAAAATTCCATGCGTTCTTACCAACGTTTCAGCTATTTAATTAAAATGAAGTACACTTTGTCACGGGTCACAGAAGAAAGAAGAAAATGAATGCCGACAATCGATAACCAAAAATCACGGTGCCAAAAAATGCGCGCCAAAATGGCGTGGTTAACATTGACGTTCATATAGGGGATCATTTTTATTAGTATAATCTACAATTGTTGCACTAAAAGGGCAGCGAACTTTGAATGCACATTTTTTTTCAAAATGGTCATTTAAATATTTCAAAACGAAATAGTTAAATATTTAAATGGTGGCCATTTTGGAAAAAAATGAAGCAGGTGATTATTTTTATGAGTTTAGCTTTGTATCCTCGCGCATTATATTCTCCTGATACAATATTTCTGACCTAACCTAACTATCACTCTAACCTAACTTCTCTCATAGTTTATCCTAACCTTAAATCTCCTCGCGCATTATATTATCCTGATACAAGATTTCTGACCTAACCTAACTATCACTCTATCCTAACCTCACTAATATTTTATCCTAACCGTCAATCTCCTCGTACATTATATTCTCCTGATACAAGATTTCTTACCTAACCTAACTACCACTCTTACCTAACCTCACTAAAACTTTAACATAAATTTCAACCACCTCCTCGTTCATTATATTCCCCGGATACAAGATTTCTCACCTAACCGAACTATCACGCTAACCTAACCACACTAAAACTTTAACCTAACGTTCAATCACCTCCTCGGACATTATATTCTCCTGATACAAGTGTTGTAAAAGTTTAAGACGAAGTAAGGCGTTGAAATATTTCTGTAAGAGCTGGGTTTACAGTCTGTATGCCCTATGTCCGCACAGGTGTTTGTAGCTCGTATCATATCGTATCGTATGGGTGGCACTCTCTAGGTACAGACGTTTTCAGCCGTCTGTGTGACTTTACGATAGTTGTGGTATGAATGCCGTGACCGCCAGCTTTACATGTCCTCCGAATCCTGGTAGTCAGAAGATGTTCTGTACCACTGAAAAGTGGCAAGATGTGGGATTCGAACTCACAACCTGTGAAATTAGAGTCCGAGTCTGTTGTGTATTTTGAGGTGGCACACTATTAGTTAAATTTACATGTCTTTAGTTTAGTAAACTTTAATTATCCATAACACAGAAGTACAGAGAACTATTTATGTCGAAATTAATATCCTAATTGAAAAGCGATGCGTAACTAACTAAAAAAATAATAATTGACAATCCTTTTTTTTCCTAGCAACAGCGCGCTAGATTTTTAGGCTTAATTCTAATTTAAATTGAGAACATAATAGTCTCCCCCCACAAAATTATGACAGTTGTAACAACAGTTTGAATCACATGATATAGTCTCTAAAACGTTCTGGAGGATGGCGGGGTCGAGTAGATCACCGGACGGATTCCACTGTTGGAGATTGTCCAACTTCTGAAGGTTCAGCTTCGACATCAGGAATAACATCCGATCGAGGATTGGCTGGTAGGAGCAGGGACGCCAGTTTTTCGTAGTGGTGGTTGATTTCAGGTGATTCCGAATCTAAAGTAATTTGTGGAGGTTGCAAGGGCGGCTGACGGTTGGGGTATATATCGACGTTGGCTTTTCTCAACTGGTTCGTGTGTCGTTTGAGCCGGTAACCATTATTAAGTTCAACTTGGTAGTGGAGATGTCCGAATTTTTGGATGATCGAACCAAATTTCCAAGTATTCTTGTTATTCGAATACCATCTTGCTAATACCTTGTCCCCAATTTTGAATTGTCGCGATGGTGGCAGGTCGAATTGTACTCGTTTTTGGATTTTTGAAGTAGGAGGCTTGAAGACGTCGAGCTGGCACCTAATGTTTCTATTCAAATACAATTCGGCTGGAGTTTTGCCATTCTGGAGAGGAGTGGCTCTGTATCTGAATAATATTTCGCGTACCTTGTGTTGAATAGAACCTGGTTCGGTCATACACTTCAGTTTTGGTTTCAAGGTTTGTATATAACGTTCGGCCAACCCGTTAGTTGCAGGATGACCTGGCGCTATAAACTTTTGCAAAATGGCATTGTTCAGACAGAAGGTTTTGAATATGTCACTGTGAAAAATAGTCGCATTATCTGATACCATGATTTCAGGGAATCCATGAGTGCAAAAAATGTCCAATAGCAGCTCTATGGTAGTTGCAGTCGTCTGGGCGTCTTTAATGATGCGAATTTCAGCCCACTTTGACTTGGAATCGACAAGGACAAGAAAATGGTGATTCAAAAACGGCCCAGCATAATCAATATGAACGCGTTCAAAATTATGCTGCGGATCGTCCCAATGATGGAGAGGAACTTTAGCTGGACTTTTCTGGGATAGTGCGCATTCCTGGCAGTTTTTTACCATAGCTTCTATGTCTTTGTCGATGTTTTTCCAGAAGCAGTGGCGTCTTGCCAACTGTTTCATTTTTACGATGCCCACATGTGTTCGATGCAGTTCCAAGAGAACTCTTTTTTGAAGGGCTTCAGGTATAAAAACTCGTTGATTCTTGAAAATGATGCCATTGGAAGTGCTGTATTCGGGATCACGTCGTTTTCCAGAAATGAGATCTTCATGAAGGTTTGAAAGAAATGCGTCCTTGGCTGTTTCTTCAGCAATAGTTGAACTGGTGATGACGTCAGTAGAAATCTGGTTGATGATCTGATCTTCAAGGGTTGAAACTTCGAGACTCATGATGCATTCTGTAGAGGAGCTAGATTGTGATGTAGGATAAGTAGCTCTGGAGAGACAATCAACATGTATGTGATCCTCTGCTTTTCTGTGTACAACTTTGTAGTCGAACTCTTGAAGAAAAGTCGCGTATCGAAGTAGTCTCGCTGACGTAAAGGATGGCAGCTTCGTTTCCGGGTGTAAAATTCTGGTCAGTGGCTGGTTATCAGTGATTAGCGTGAATGGACGACCAGTAAGGTACATATACAGTCTTGAAACACAAAAAATTATTGCGAGTGCCTCGCGGTCAAGTTGGGAGTAATTTTTTTCTGCGTTTGTCAAAGATCTTGATATGAAGGTTATAGGCCTTTCTACGCCATTAACGTCGTGAGATAAAACACCAGCGATTCCCGTGGGACCGGCATCGCAAGCCAAACTTACTGGAAGCGATGGATCATATGGCATGAGAACTCGATCGCTAATGATTTCCGTTTTGAGCTGCTGAAATGCCTTTTGGCATTTTTGAGTCCAAACCCATTGACTTCCTTTATGAATCAATTGACGCAGAGGGTAGGTTATTGAAGACAGGCTAGGTATGAACCTCGCATAATAGGTAACCATTCCTAAGAAACGATGTAGCTCATCAGGATTTTTTGGTTCCTCCATGTTGGCAATAGCCTCAACTTTCTTAGGGCATTTCGAAATTTCGTTATACCTAACACAGTATCCTAAATATTGAACTTGCGTTTTGAAAAACGAACATTTTGCTTTGTTCAGATGCAAGTCGTTCTTTTTTAACCTTTCGAGGCAAGCTATCAGTCTCTGCTTACACTCTTCAAATGTAGAGCCGTGGACGATTATGTCGTCATAGTACGACATGACTCCATCTAGATTAGCCAAAATCTGATCGAGAATTCTGTTGAATTCGCTTGGCGCGGTTTTGATACCAAACGAAAGACGATTCATGAGGTAAGTTCCTCGATGTGTTGAGATGGTTTGAATTGCCTTGCTTTCGTCGCATACTTGAATATGTAAATATGCTTTGAAAAGATCCAAATGGCAGAAAAATTTTGAATTTCGAAGATTATTGAGAATATCATCAATCTTTCTTATGGGGTAATGAGCCGATTTAAGTTGTTTATTGACGCCAATCTTGTAGTCGACACAAAGACGAAGCGAATTGTCAGTCTTTGGAATAATGACTAGAGGAGAACCCCAGTCACTAACTTCAATTTTTGAAATAATGCCTGATTTCTCGAGATTGTCCAGTTCGATATTAACCTTCTCCAACAGAGCGTATGGGACAGGTCGTTCTTTGATGAAAACTGGTCTTGAATTAGGGCGCAACTCGAGGGAGCAAGTGATTCCAGGTACACATCCGACTTTGGGCTCAAATATATCAGCAAAATCTCTCATTATGTCTGCAATAATGTCAAGTGAGTTTACATTTGATAATGTAGAATTTTGTTCGTCGATATCTCCAAGGCTAATTTTCAAATGTCTAATCCAGGTTCTACCCAGGAGTGGCGAAAACTGAGCTGGTACTATGAATAGTAATTCGGTCGATTTGTGATCTCGGTATTGTACTGTAACTTCTGCGACCCCAAGAGGTTTGAAAATTCCGGAGGTGTAGGAACGAAATTGAACATGAGTCGGCCTGAGTAATGCCTTATTGAAATTCAATTTTTGAAAATCTGGTTCCGGAAGGAGCGTAATTCCGGCGCCAGAATCCACTTCGAAGGTTTGCGGTTTACCCTCAATGAGAACTTCAACAAAATATTTATTTGAGTCTTGACCAGGGCTGGATTTTTCGAAAATGTCAATAATTTGGTTGATGGCACTCAAGTCATGGAAAGAGTTTATGTTGACAAAATTTGTGTTTTGAGTTTCAGATCTTTTCTTCTTGGTTTTCTGTTGCATGAGAGTTGAAATACAAACTGCTGCAACATGACCCGTTCGTTTACAAGAATCACACCGCAGTTTTGATTTATCAGCGCGGCAATCTTTGGTAGGATGCTTAAAAGAGCAACGTAGGCAGCGGTTGTCGAGTCCTAGGTGCTAGTAATTGAGTCGAGACCGTGATTTTGAACGCGAATCTCGAGACGAACTTTGTGTATTGGTAGATGAGCTATTTGAAGACCTGATTCGATTGTCATGGTTGGTGGATGGATTTGGAGCACGCGATCTGTGCTGTCCAATTTTGTTTATGTCATTTCCTCCAAGAGGTACTGATAAAGTTGGTTGACGGTTAGAAATTTCACGGCTATCAATTTTAGACGCCTCAAGTGCAAGTGCCTTTTTCACGATGTCGTCGAATTTCGATTTTTCATCATCCAATTGCAAAATTTGTTCCCGGATAGCATTGTCCCGTATGCCCCGAATGAGTTGGGCACGCAAAAATATTTCCGCAATACTGGCTTGACAATTTTCTGCGTGACACACAAAAGCACAATCGGAAATATCGCGACGCAAAACCGCAATGTAGTCTGCAATGGACTGCCCGTCTTGTTGATACAAAGACAGGAAACGGTGTTGAGCAACCAAAATGTTTCGTTTAGGACACAAATGAGTTTCAAGCACTTGAACAATATCTTCGTACGATTTTTCGATAGGTTGCTTGGGCGCGACCAACGACACAATTAACTGGTAATTACTAGAACCTATTGAATTCAGGAGCATTTGAGCACATAACGTTTTGTCTTGAAAAACACCTTTCATCGTCAAGTAATTCTCAAAACGAGCTCTGTACATTTTGAAGTTTTCTTTGGAAGCATTGAAATTTTCGAACGGCGGTATAAGAACTTGTGGATTCACAGGAGCTTGTGTTTGAAAACCACTTTTCTGAGGTTGACCAGCGAATGTTTTTGCGATAGTTTCAACAGTGCTTTTTGTTGATTATTGAAGACTTCCATAAGCGATTGAAACTGTGTTTGATCCATTTCGAGTTAGATCGGAAATATCGAATAATAAGTAATTAAAGATTGCTTACCCTGACAAGTAAACAATACGCAAATGTCACTTTCATCTCGTCGCCAAAATTGTTGTGTATTTTGAGGTGGCACACTATTAGTTAAATTTACATGTCTTTAGTTTAGTAAACTTTAATTATCCATAACACAGAAGTACAGAGAACTATTTATGTCGAAATTAATATCCTAATTGAAAAGCGATGCGTAACTAACTAAAAAAATAATAATTGACAATCTTTTTTTTTCCTAGCAACAGCGCGCTAGATTTTTAGGCTTAATTCTAATTTAAATTGAGAACATAATAGAGTCTTAAACCGCTACGCCAAACTGACTACTATAGATAGCTTTCACCTAATGAACCGATTGGCTTAAGATTGTACTGCGCGCCTTGCGAAACTTGACCGGGGCAGATTCAACGCTGCGTACAATGCTCTTTTCCCACTATTTACACTCATATTTATAGGTATTGTAAAATATGAATGGTTTAAATACTTCACTCCGCTATATCACAAGCGTTTTGTCATTCAACATTCGGTTACTATAGACGTACTTTAACTTGCTCTCCTTGCACTTATTTTAATTACAAATTCATTTAGCACAGCCGGAATATGCACACGTACTCTTGTTGAGTAAAGTAAAATTTATACATCAAAATGAAAAGGAATGCGAAACTATAATCAAGCAATTGGGTACCTAAATAGAAATCTACAAGAACTAGTCTATTATTATTATCTAAATTATAAAAAAGGATCTATAGAAATGCCACAGATTGCAAAGGGCGTTTTTGTCCCCTTCGCAGCTTAAAACAGCAAGAAATCGCAGCTATTCGATGGAAATCAACTCTTTGCGGATATAATTAGGCAATGTCAAAAAGAAACAGCAGGGACAAACCAAATATAAATTAGAGGTTTATGATGTAGCGTAAAAGCGCAAGGTCCATTCATAAATGTCACAAATGGAAGTAGTTATTGGCCAATTTTTCCGGTAAGGATTAATTGATCACGTTGCATTTGCCTGTACTGTTTGGTGCAGATATATTTTATTTCATGTCGCGTGACTTACGATTAGTATCTACATGTAGTAAATGTATGAAACATTAAACACTCCATTAGAAACTCATTTGAAATTCCATTTTTAGAGTATTCAATTGGATTCTCGTCACAAACTGTGTGTTAAATTACCTGTCACGAAAAAACTGCCGTCAGTTTTACAAAAAGTCCAATTAGCCAAAGAAAGCTGCACTAACTCGCCTTTTCAGATAAATTTGTCTTATAGTTCGACGTACCTACCGTAAAGGAAACGTGTGCAATTGCATTGCTTGTTTGTGCTTGATAGAGTGCACGATTAGATAGAATGCAACTGCACAATCCGAACGAGCACTTCGCGATGCAGTAAAAACGTATTTAGTAAGTTTCGCAATTTTAAATTAAGAAACGAAAGCAATCCAACATTTTCCCTTCTGACGGAAAATTAACGCAAAGCTTCAGATGTTCTCCACTTTGACAGCGTAATTTATTCCTTTAACATCGTTACCAGTCTACCGGTCTAAAAATATGTTTGCGAAAGAACAATTACGAAATCGCTTTGGAAATCGAAATGGAATTTTGCGTATAGTAGAAACCACGACAGGAACGATTTAAGGAATTTAGTTCAGCGGGTTTCTGGCCCAAATCAATACCAATCTAAATAACTAACGCAAGGTCGGTATACAACAAACGCGAATATCAAACACGACAGGTTGTGAAAAATTGCGTGAAAGATATAGATTTGGGAAAGTATTTTAAGCGATATGCAAGTTTCAAAGCATGAAAGCTTCTGTTTGGACAGTTGGGGATTTAGGTTAAATGTGAAAGTTTAATTTCGTATATCTCCTACCGTTTTTTTCGTTTTACTGTTAATTTTAAATTTTTCCTTTGCAATTATTACGAACTTACAATGCTCAAAGCAAGGAACCTGAAATATTGTATTCTACAACATTTTCAGTCAGCCTACTTAAATATGTTGTGGCATTAGAATTGTAATACTCGTTAATGAATTTAGGCATTCCTTGATTGCTTTTCATTCTAACCTTCCGGGTCGATCTGAGACAATTTTTTCTTCGGGCCTCAAAAAAGGGCAGTGTAAAACCTTCCTTTTTTACAAAAAATCGACTACACCCAAATTTCTCGGGACAACACTTTTTCTTATTAATTTTGGTGCGTAGAATCCAAAACAATTCGTACGTTTTCGATCAGACTTCTCAATCCAAAGTTGTAGACTAGAAACCAATTTCGAAAGAAAATTCAAAGGGCTGTAACTTTTGAACTAGTAGCCCAATCTTGGAACTGTTTGAAATTATGGATTCTACAGGCCACATTCTATAAGAACAAATTTTTTCCGGGTCGATCTGAGACAATTTTTTTTCGGGCCTCAAAAAAAGGCAGTGTATAACCTTCCTTTTTTACCAAAAATCGACTGCACCAAAATTTCTCGGGAAAACACTTTTTCTTATTAATTTTGGTGCGTAGAATCCAAAACAATTCGTACTTTTTCGATCAGACTCCTCAATCAAAAGTTATAGACTAGAAACCAATTTCGAAAGAAAATTCAAAGGGCTGTAACTCTTGAACTAGTAGCCCAATCTTGGAACTGTTTAAAATTATGGACTCTCGATCGATCTCGATCTCAGACAATTTTTTTCCGGGCTCAAAAAAAGGCAGTACTTTTAAGTTATTCAAATATTTGAGAACAATTTAGAAATGTTTAGGGAAAGTTTCCATTGTCACAAAATCAAATATAAAAATCCGATACATCTGAATACCGAACTCGATAGTCTACGTAACTTAAAAACAATAGGGACCTTTCTTATATCCTTAAGACCATGTGTACCAATTTTCAAAGCGATCGCACGTTTCTAAACAAGTTATCATGCACACGGACAAACGGATGGTCAAAAATGGATCTGTTCCAAAATCGCTAGGATTAATTTCAGAAAGGCGTACGTATCATGTGCACGACGTACGATCGCTTTGAAAACTGGTACACGTATTCTTAAGGATATAACTGGTATAAGAAAGGTCCTGGTAGGTACCTCCTATATAATAATATAATAATAATAATAATACGCTTTTACTCCCCTTAAATTTGTATATAGCAATAGAAAAAAAGCTAACCCCATACAAAGTATAACTTGATTTTTTAAGTAGTATTAAGCCTTTTATCTAGTATACTATTTTAAATTTTTAATGTATTTGAGTGACAAGTATTTGAATACTTTTTACTGTATTCGAATACTTTTCAAAGTAAGATAATAAAATACTTTTCAAAGTATTTGAATACATATTTTTTTAAGTACTTGAATACAATGCGAACAAAAATGAGTTGCTGTCGAGTCACCTTTGACATTTTTTTTACATGGGAATTCGTATTTAGGTTGAACTTCCAAAGGCTACTCGACAGCAACTCATTTTTGATCGCCCGTTACTTTTCAATGTATCTGTATCTAGTATTCGCTTGTGCTGGACGTAAAAGTATTTACTATTTGTGTAAAGTATTTACTATTTAGTATTCAAATACTTTTTGAAAGTATTCTGCCCAGCTCTGTTCGTATGTAAGTACAGAGTATTCGTTCAAGGCCAGAAGACAATGGTACCGCATCAAGTGACCATTGTACGGTACTGGGTCGTGATTGGTAGGTTAAGAAAAAGTCGCGGATACTGTCGAAACTGTACTTACTTAATAGTAGTGTTCTGTTACTAATTCTAACCTAAAATTCTCGCACATAATAGTATTACGAGTGTGTTATGACGCTTATTATTCAGAAGGCTGATGTTCGAACAACCGAACAAAGAAACTTAGTAGTTATTTTAAATAAGTATTCAGTCGACTTATTTAGCAGATTCGAATTATTAATGTGAAACTGTCTTTAAAGTGGTTTTATTGGTCAGTTGCTGGATTTTTTTGCTGTGAATTATCGAATTCAATACGGACATGTGTGAAATTTCAAATTTTCTAGCTAAATAACGAAGAGTCATATACTATTAAATTTATACTATTAAAACACGACAAGTTCTTTTTCTGTTGTAATGTTCATTAACAATTCAGCCATCAACATGAAATTCTGTAGTGCTTTAATTGGTTTATCCGGATATATAGCAGCAAATAAATCCTGTGATTATCTATATGAAATACATTTGTCACAGTTTTCTTTTGCCTTCTTCTTTTGTATACATTTTTATTAAGAATAACTATACCCAATAATAATCTTAATTAATAAATAATTGAGACATTGATCTTTATTAAAAAAAACATTTGAAAAGGATGAAAGTAGGTAAGATTGGTTTTATATTTTAAGGAGTATTTATTTGATTTGTATATTAAAGAATTGAACATAAGAGATTTGTATGTTCAGAGTTAACATTTATGCACTGTATATTGTTGTGTAAACAACGACTTGTAGATGCTATTTCCGTCTAGACATCGAAGATAATGATGGTGCACCCTGTATATGAGAATATTTCAATTTATTAAGTGTAAATCTCGAGGTAAATCTGGAGGATTATTTACGAATTAGCACACAGTTTATTTTACGAGAATTTGTGCCTCAGTGTTATTTTTCTTTTTAGAATTGTTTGTAATTTTGTTAAAAATTATCGCATTTGTAAATTGTATCTGTTGAATTTTAAAGTGTACAATTGCGGGGTAAAGTGTAGGGGTCGTTTGTGATAACTTATAAGAAGTTTTGCTATCGGACGAAATTTAATTAACCCACGTGTTCTTATCGCTGTTTGTTCCGTATTCAGGAAAAGTTAGTACAAGTGGGAGTTAACGCAGCTGTAGTGTGCTTAGTAAAGTTAAGTTTCTACCCTCTGAGCAGCCACCGAAATTTTATTTATTTATCAAGCCAGTTCGAATCATTGAGTTCAGTTTATTCTAGAACACGTAAGATTCAGAAGTTGTTAGCGTGTTTAAGTTTACTGCGCCTTTATCGCAAATCTTGCACAACTTGACTATATAGATTATTGAAAAAAATAACGTAATTTAATTTGCTTTAAATTTTTAATTATCGACCGCTTGCGTGCGGGGTAGGTATTATGTCTAAACCAGCTTTTTAAACTTTTAAACATAATCCTAAACTGCGGTTTCAACTATGGGTGTTAGTGCTATATTATGCGATACGACAATAGGATGTAACCAATCGCCTGATTTGGTGCTTGCCCTCAAAAGTATTTGAGTGGTAGATCATGGACCTGATGGTCATCGAATATTACAGAATAAATAAAATATATTTTAATAGTTTATCAGTATTTATGACACTGTTAGTAGCACAGTCTGGAAATTTGTAAACGTAATTGTTTATTCTTCCTTGTAAAGTAGATGTGTGAGCAATAATTGAAAAAAACTCAGTCAAAGTTCTTTGAATTAAAAACGTTGAATAATATTTTGTCCTTTCTTGATTTTAGTACTAAATTTAGTGGCCGACAACTCAACATGGGTTTGACGTGGTTAGGAATTGATAATTATGGGGTTGTGTTGTGAGTCAAACTATTAATAACGAACTGAGTAAGACAATCTACAAATTGTGTCACAAAACGATTCTGTCCAGAACACATTGTGTCATTAAATATAAATAAACATGACGTAAATGCATCAGGAATTACATGTTATAACTAGGAATTACCTTAGTCTAAAATACGCACGGAAAAAGTGCAGACACGGAGTAGTAAAGCAAACACCCCATTTTCGATGTTGCGAACACGTTTTCTCAAGATATAGCTGTAAACTGGATCTCGTTTCGCCTTGATCAATTTTATTTTAGTATTTGTACTTTATATAAATAACTTTGGCAAATGCTTTAAGAAGAGCCGCTTCTAAAAATGAATAGGCAAATCAAACAGTAAGCGATAAGTGCTGGTGGTGACGTAATGACATTTTGAGTGTTTGTAAATACACTCACGACAGAACGTATCTTGGTAGTATAAATAATCGAAGCGTGCCATAAAAAATAATCATCCCAAGTTCGAAGTTTTGATAATGAACTAGGAAAAGAACTTCTCCTCTTATCGCATGGTTTACGGTTGCTCTGTCCCCGAGGGGGCATTTCGAGTGATTAATTCTGTCGATAAGTCTGAAAATGTGAAGTATGGCCCACCCACCACCCTTCACTATCCTTTGCTACGATAGTTACTACTTACGCTGATTGCAAATCATAATCCTCTTGTTCGTCTGCATGTAGAAGTCGATGTTCCGCTTGCTCCTTAAGCTCTCTTTCTCTCTCCCTTTCCGAATGTCGCTGTTGCAAGAGATCGTGATCTAATTGTCGTATTTCCCACTGTTCCCTTTGGTTTCGATGATGTTCCTGAAAAAATAAACGCAGATTAAAATTTCCTCTCGCAACGGAAACGAAGTAATGAATCATCAACGTTGGAATAACCCTCTTAATCCCACAACTACTCAAGTTGAATTATCCCCAAAATTCTTTCGGAGTTTGGAACTTGCAGTATTAATCATAACGTATCGCAAGAAGGTGTCTTTTAAAGCTGTTTACAACTAGTGGCTGTTTTGAGAAAACCCCATCCAACGCAAGAATTTCCAAAGTACGTTAAAACATAAGGCGCTCTTCCTGCTTAAATTTGCAAATAAAGCGAAAAATTACCGCTAATTTCATTAACCGAAGTGTTGCTGCCGAAAAAAAGTATTTCAGTAAACGACGCTAAGGTAAAATTTAGTTAAGTAATATAAAAATAAAACGTTGGCGCGATCTCGTTCCTTCCTCATGGAAATGTGCCTGCGATTACTTCCGTTTCATTTTATTCTGAAACTTCTTTTTCGCATCATTCAAACGCATTTTAATGCAAATTGTCGCACGAAGGAGGAAATACTAATCTGTTGCGAAGGAAAATTATAAAAATAGCTATTGGGTTCGTCTTATACGAGCCAATGTAAATTCATATAATTAAACCAGCTAACTTGTCGTATTTTACCACTGAATAATTAGCGATTTGTCAATCTATAATTTCTAAAATACTAATAAAAAGAGTTATGAGTGCAATAAAAAATCAGATTGGTATTTCTTAATATCAACTTTTACGGATTTCGCGATTGTTTCTTTGGCGGTTTAGTTTTTATGCACTGGGATCGGAATGTAGACAATTACAGAATTTATATTAATACAATTTATGGGAATATTCTTCTTTTTATGTATGCTATTTAAGAAGGGCGTAAGAGGTTAATTTTTGATTTTTTATGTCATTCTAAAAGCAGTGAGAGCTTTAAAATAAATATAAATCCCATTTCTTTTTATTACAAGAGCGATTATTTCGACCCTTTTCTATTGAAATGTGCGAAAGAACATTTTCTAAGGTTAAAAACGCTCAAAGCTTCAAGAACATTCAACCAAACAAATATTGCTCATGTTCAAATTCAAGTTTTTGTTTTGTCGATTGTAATCCGGCGAGCTTTTTTAGTCAACTGTGTCATGTCTTATCACTGTTTTAAATCGAATCTTTCGCCACACTGTCGAGAGTTGGTTTTGACTTAGGATCAAGAGAAGGGCTATTTTGCACGGAATTAGAGATACTCGTTTTGGTGTTGGAAGATAGATGGAACATTATTTAAGCATGCATCCGAAGAAGCTTACTGATAACTAATCCAGAGTGCTGATTCAAAATTATCTATAAGTAGTTGTAAATAAAGTGAATCCCATTTGACACTATTACCCCTTCCGTCCATTATTCCGTGGGTCCTCCCTCTTTTCACATCTTGTTTATTAGTTACCTTAATACTATCTCTGGCGAAAATGCATGCATCATTGCTTATTTCATCCCCCCCGCTCGCCTTCTTTTTCTTCAATCTTTTTAATGGTTGCTCCATTTCTTCTCTTGATATCACGTTTACTTCCACCTTCTTTTATTTCCTTTCATATTCTTTTGTACCTTTTTCTATTCTCTCCCCTCCTTCGCCTTTATCTCACCCTTTCTTTCTCTCTCCGTCATTGTTCTGTATCTATTCCTCTCTCCTCTTTGCACTCTCTGACACACGTCTTAGATTATGATTTACTTGCGTTTTTTACTACGCCTTCACGTTTTGTGAGTATAAATAAATAGATGACGAAGTGTTACAACATTCGCTTGTCAAAAATAGTTGAGTTCATTTAATAAATACCTAATAAAAATAATAGTTTAACTTTTAGTATGACAATTTTGTTTATGCAAAAAAGTACCTGCTTATTTTAATTTTGCAAACTGTGGTGAATAACAAAAAGGGCAATTCCATTTAAAATAACAAAGTTAGTGTCGACTTTCGGTCTAAGCGAAAATGTCGCCATCTTCACAATATTTTCGTTCGAATTCGAAAATTAGCCTTATTACTTTTATGTGCAAAGTTTAATAAAATTACCTTGAACGGTTGCCGAAAACGTTTAATTGACGCTTGACGTGAAGATCGTCTATTCAGGAGTCATGAACTCATTACTCATGACAATTAAATAAAACTTAATGAATAAAATTACTAATTTCATGCCCTTTAGTTTTAATTTTCATCTGAATCGTTGGGCTTGGGAACTTCATCCTCTTCAGGGGGTTGCGATATTATCGCCATGAGTTTCATTGCAATTATTATTACTGTTACACAAGAACAAAGCTGTGATTCTAAAAATGTTATTTTTTATTTGCCATTTGTCATTTCTGCTGGCGCGAAATAATTTTCTTTCTAGGTATTCGATGATTATTCTTGCATTGTTAATAAAAGTACATCATTTTACATTAAACTTATTTAAACTTTTCGACAAATAGAAATGCCCATGCAGAGGCAAAAGTTTTGGAGAAAAATTCTTTCTTTCCGTCCACGCTAACCCTTAAAACCGCAGCTATGTATGCGTATGCGTTCATTATTGAAGTAATACAGGATGGCGCATTAAAAACGGACCAAAGCGTTTTGGGTAGATTATTTTTAACATTTACTTTTATTTAAAAACAAACGGATTCGTCAATTTTAAATATTTTAATACTCTAATCTCTTTGTCTCTTATGGTTGTTACCGCAATCTTAAAATTTTAAATGGCGGTTACAGAAGGTCGCGAGATATGACGAAATTAATGAAAAATATGGTACGGTCCAGCTGAATCTTTTCTGAGCAATAATAAGAGGATTACACAGCTTGAGAACTGCCAATTTTGCCCATTTGTGATTTCAGAGTCCACGCAGTGACACATCATTTGAAGGGTCCACGCTTTTAGGATTTAGCTTTAAATATACAGGGTGTTTAGCGAGGAAATACCATGAGATCAAAAACGAGTTGCTGTCGAGTCACCTTCGGAATGTTTGTTTACATGATAAATCATATTTAACTTGAACTTGTACACCGGCATCAGGTGTTCTGTGTTCTCTCTTGGCGAGACCTTTACGTTAATCTTTCTCTAAACATTCGGAGATGCAAGTAACCTCGCGATTCAAATTTTCATCGTACAAATAGAATATCTCAACAACTCTTCACATTCGTGTAAGGCATGTTTGGCTAAAACAACTGCAAATGACCTCCATTAACATATCCTCCAATGGATATGTTTATGAACCAGGCACCCTGTATATATATCGCCGCTCATATCCGCATGTCAGATGACAAACCGCTATTTGAAAAGCGCCTTCTGTGAAAATTTCCGAAAAAATCCACCTGCAACTAATAAAGTCGACTCCGAGCAATATATTTTTGTGCTGTCTAAATTTAAAATTTCGGAAATGCCTGGAATAAGAAAGTTATTTTTATTTTTTGACGCCTGATTTCAATTTGCTTCTACAAGAAACTACATCCACCCTTAACATTGTAGAAATATCGGTGCATAAATAAGAAATACGCAATCTATTTTTCTAACACGTCTGCAGAATTAATAAGGACCCCAAGTAATAACCATGTCTTCTAACAAAAGCAATTTTCTTTTGCTCTATCATAGCGTTTATCCGTTTCCTCAATCCAACTGAGGTTTAGATTAAGATTTTGGTTCTCCCTGGTCCAATTTTATAGCTAAAACTGACCAAGCTTCATGTTTGAGTTTTGGATAATCAAGGATCAAAATGCAACAGGAGTGAGGATTTATACGTACAAATACGGTGAAATATTGTGAAGAGTGAAAGCTGAAAGCAATAGTTTTTTTTTGCTATAACTTTTTTTGTAAGTTGCGCAGTTCCTTCCTTGATGCAAGTCTCGTTATCATAACGCACTATATAACGAAAAAAGTACGCCAATAGCTTTTAAGATACTGATATGACAGCCGTATAAAAGAAACCCTTTTTAGCGTATTTTTCAACTCGTGTTGGAAGGCGCTATTAACACCACTTCCGTCCGTTCGTCCGTCTGAGGCCTTAACTACTTCTACAGTTTTCAAGATAGTTACTAATTGTTCTGGCACCTCAACCAGTCTGCGCAAAGCCAACTTTCCTATTTATGGAGATATTTCTTTGAAATTTTAACCACAGATGCTGCTAGTAAAGACAAGCATATAGCATATTGTAAAAATCAGACGTATACATGTCCAAACTGCGTAATGTCAACTTTCTTATTTATGGAGATTTTTTGAAATTTAAACCAAAGATTCTTGTGGTAAAGGCAAACACATCGCATATTTTAAACATCAAGCGTGTGCATGCGCAGACTGCGCAATGCTAAGTTGCATATTTATAAGAATATTTATGCCATAATTTATATTCCTTGGTATAGTCCGTTATATGACCTTTCGGGAAGTACTGATCAAGTCATGGAAAATGCGCTATAAATTTACTCGTCTTTGGACGTAGTTTTTTTTTCATTTTTTTTTGGAGGTTTGGGCAGTTTTTCGACTGTTACTTTTTGGGCCGATAGTCTACGTAGCTGAAAAACAATAGCGACCTTTCTTATATCTTTAAGAACATGTATACCAAACACTTTTACAAGCGATCGGACGTTTCTAAACAAAGTTATCGTGCACACGGGTAAGACAGGCAGTTAGACGGACGGGCAGAGAGCAATACAAAATTATAAACGCTCTCGAGGATCGTTAATAAACGACAAAAGTGTTAACTGATGATACAATAAAAAATTGTGTTTTTACTATAACTTTTAAGCGCATTTTCCAACTCATGTTGGAAGACGTTGTTATGGCCACTTTCTCCGTGCGTCCGTCCGAGACCTTATTTACTACAGTTTTCAAGATTCTTTCATTCATTCTTTTTGCATGTGGTAACTTATAGCTCTGGCACGTCGACCAAGAAAAATCTTGCCGATTAATGTACGCATGCGCAGTTTGCTCAAAGCGAACTTTCTTATTTATAAACATTTTTTTGAAATTTTAACCAGAGATGCTTCTAGTAAAGACAAGCATATCACAAA